GTGTGTGTGTGTGTGTGTGTGTGTGTGTGTGTGTGTGAGTGAGTTTGTGTTTGTGTGTGTGGCCACCCCTCCCGCGATAATAACCCGATCAGTAAAAAAAAAAAAAAAATTGGAAAAAAAAAAGAAAACAAAGAAATCGTAATGATAACAATAATAATATCGCAAAACATAAGAAACAGAAAACAGAAAAAAAAAAACACAAAAAAAGGAAAAAAAAAAACAAAACAAAACACAACATTGGGCGGGTGGTTTGGGGCCGGGGAACCGATTGAACGAGAGGGGGGGTGACAGGGTGGTTTGGGTGGTTTTTGTCATGGCTGACTTTGGGGTGCGGGGGAGGAGCGGTGGTGCCGGGGGTGGCGGGGGGGTTTCAGGTAGTTCGGGACGGCGAGGGTGTCGGTCCCTCAACGTCCAGGGTTGCGGGGTGTGTTTGGCACTGTTTGCTGATGTGCAGGCTGTGGAGTGGTGGGGGCTTGGAGTGGGGTTCCGGGGTTCAATGAGACAGGGGGTGTTTCGGCGGTGTGGCGCAGCCTGGCTGGGTGGGGAGGCTGACTAACCCGCAAAGGCGGTGCGCATGGTCGGGCCGGGAGGACGACCGAGGCCGTGGAGCGTTTTTTTTTTTTTCAACCTTCATCGCTCACGGCGCGCACGTCGACATGCCCTCTGCCGCAACCGCGGCCTCCATTGCTCGGTTTCCCCGCGGAACTGGCACTTCGTTCAACGTGGATTCAACAGGTATTCAACGGCGCTGAATCCATTCAACGGACTTTCAACGGCCATTCAACGGGTTCAACGAGGATTCAACGGAGGGTCTGACCTGTACTGACCTTTTTTTTTCTGCACGCTGCTAGGGTCGCAAGCCCGGCCGCTGCTAGGCGGGGTCTGTTGAACAGTGTTCCCGTTGTACCATTCAATGGGGTTTCAACGGGGGCCCCGGGTCTATTCAACGGGTACAATGGCGTTGAAAAAATCTTGTTACCCGTTGAATGGACATATAGCTTTTCTCCATTCAAATTCTCGCAAGACAACATCCCGCATATGAGGCATAGAATCGCATTTGACATTTTGTCGATGGTCGAGCATGAGTGAACATTCCAGATATGCGGCTTATGATATCATTCAACACTTTGTTGATGGTTGAGAATAGTTCCAATGGTTGGTATGTGTCATTCAACACTTTGTTCATGGTTGAGAATAATTTCAATGGTTGGTATGTGTCATTCAACACTTCGTTGATGCTTAATCGTAGTTTCAATGGTTGGTTTTATTTTTCACAATTTTAAAATGTTATTGTAAAATAATGTATTTCTCAAAATTTTCAATGCTAAGCTTTCACCATTTCGCCTTGTTTCATCGCTTTTTTTCTCTTTCCTCATGAGGCTCTCTTATGTGTGTCATTTTACACTTGAAAGGTAAAGTGAACATGAAAACAATTTCACTTCTAACGAAAACACCATTACAAGCATTGACCTGCACTTGCTGCTCATTGCAGTTCTATACAGGTCCAATCTTTAAAGTTCTTGCAAGGAGACGATGTTAACGTTTTCACATCGACCATCTCATTCAAGCAGGAGACGATGTTAACGTTTTCACATCGACCATCTCATTCAAGCAGTCAAGTCAGGGTAGCATGAAGGCAAACAATGTACAGGGGTCCCAGTGCCCAGCGCTTCCATCATGATACACATGCCATTACCAGCTTGACAGCTTCAGCTCCAGGGAGTAATCGCGCCAGGGTGGAAAATAAATCTAGCATTCCCTATGAGGTCAATAGAGATCCAAATTGGTACACGAGAATGATCACACGAGATGAGAACTACTGCAGTGAATAGTATGCAATGATAAAGATTGATGATGATGCACATGAATCAACAATTGACTCACCGTCGCAAAAAAATAAAAAAAAAATAAAAAAAATTGACTCACTGAGCTAAGAACATAGTTTTAAGTCTGAGTCGATTCAACATGAACATCAACGGAGGTCTAACCTCAACTGCAAACTAGTTTCAAACCCGATGATAACCACAACCAACTTACTAAACTGAAACCAGAATAAAATCCTGGCAAAGGTGTTACAACGAGCCAAAATAGAATACGAGTATGGAAACCAGCCGAGGACAGATTTATTAAGTCCATGGTGTTGTAGAGGCCAGTCACTGAGTACACAGTGATCACCTGGAGCAGTAGGCCATGGGTGTCCTGGAATATGAGACCACCTCCCATCCCATCCTCACATCAATACTCCTAGCGCACCCCCTATCCCACTATCCTACCTCAGTGTGACCAGCACTCAGGACCATTACCCTACCAATGGGCAGGTAATTGGACCGAACAGCAGTGATAGGCACCAGGGCTGATAGGTTGCCCAGCCCTGGTGGAAGCAGAATTGGACGAGCCTTGGGCTGACGCATGGTACTATTACAGACACTGCCTGCGCACCACCCAAGGGTTGTTCATGGTGTTGTATGTTGGTTGTGGGTTTCACATGGGTTGCTTGGGGGTGTTGGTCTTGGGTGTTCTGTTGATCTCCCCAGTCTGGCATATCACACGTTCGTGCCATTTCCACTAGCCGTTCACATGGTAGAGTCATACGATTATATGTTTCAAGGTGACGGGTTCGAGCTTGGTTCGGATCTTGGGGGGGTCCTTGTCCAGCTTACCCTGTTCTCTCTTTGATATACACACATGATGCTGCCTATACATCTCAATACATTGATTCACAGAGCACACACAGCCTTCGGGCATATACATAGCTTGCAAATTATACATGGCCTAGCTTGCAAATTATACATGGCCTTCAGGCTACATACACAAGTCCCACACACAAGGCTACATACACAAGTCCCACACACAGTGCTGTCTGTATATCTTCATACATAGATACACGAAGTATACACAGCCTTCGGGTATACACATACATTGCGAACTACACAACTATCAGACTGGGGGGGTCTAGTCACTGGGTGGGGTCTAGTATCTGCGGTAGGGACAGGTATGGGCCACCGGAGTTCCTACTGATATTCGGGTAGAACTGTCTAGTGGCTATATGTAATGCTTCGACCCTGGGGTAAGGGTAGGGGTATAAGTCGTTCAGGCCAGTCCGAGTTCCACCTGGCCTTGGGTAAGCTAGGGGAAGGACGGTAAGACTGCTTCAATGGGTGCTACCCTGTCTGAAACCTAGGGTCCCGAGTCTCTTGGGGCCTGTAATAGATTGTCTGGGCCTGGTGTCCGAAGTTCCCGTTCGAGAAGGCTCTTCCGATTCCGCTTTCACCAGGGCTGGGCAACCTATCAGCCCTGGTGCCTATCACTGCTGTTCGGTGTAAGTTATCTGCCCATTGGTAGGGTAATGGTCCTGAGTGCTGGTCACACTGAGGTAGGATAGTGCCATACTAGTGGGATAGGGGGTGCGCTAGGAGTATTGACGTGAGAATAAGATGGGAGGTGGTCTCATATTCCAGGACACCCACGGCCTACTGCTCCAGGTGATCACTGTGTACTCAGTGACTGGCCTCTACAACACCATGGACATAAAAAAAAAAAAAAAAAAAAAAAAAAAAAAGAGGACAGATTTCTGAAATCTTTGATCTCTGGCCTTTAAAATTACTTAGCAACTTTAAGTCTCTGGTTTATATGGGGAAAATCCAATACCAGAACGTGGAGTTTCAGGATGACAAGTACAAGCCCAATGCTTACAATGCCATATCACTTTTACATGTCCCGTGCAGCCAGTAGCAAGAGCTACAGTGCATACCAGGTCCTGCTCTAAGATAACTTTGGGTGAATCTAATAAAGGAAGGTTCCACACGTCCAGTCCCCAAAACAAGCAGATAAGTATTAGCAGTTTCAGCTCTAGACCCACACAATGACTTTCACTTGCCAGCATGTGAAAGATTTGAGCACCTTCCAGCCTGCTGGCTGTGCGTAGGGCAGACTCCATATAACACACTGAATAGGCAGATCAGGACCTTGGATTTTACCCGATAATGTAAAGCTACGTGCTATGACTCACTAAGACAAAAAAGAATTCATATTTTATAACTAGACAGAGTATTCACAAGGGCATCCGTTCGACTCTCCTCACATCTACAAATGGCAATGTGGCATAGTTCTCATCCATCCCTCACTCTAGGTGCACTTCGTGCCCCCCTTGTGACTCAGCATCATCTATCTTGCAGATGTTATCCTCTGCCTCTGGTGTCGTCAGAAGGTGCTCCATGTCCATTGTTCTGATCAAGAAGTCCCAACCGACATCAAGAAGCATGCTGTGGATGCGCTGCACGACAGCTCGCATTGCCGGCCTTGACCCATACTCCTCATGGACACATTCCCAAGCCAGTCTGCAAGTGTTCATAACCATCTGCTTCATAGAGTCTCCCACCATCTGATCCCACAAACATTGGTCAAGAATAGCACGTGGCATGTCCAGGCTCGGGTCTTGGGCTTTTTCACCTTGATCTCGAAGGAAAGGCTTCACCCACTCCACCAGTGTCTGCCATCCCACCCCAGAAGGCGCCCGTGCGGCCACCTTCCTTCCCGTCAGCAGCTCCAGTACAAGAACCCCAAAGGAGTACACGTCATTCTTCTCGGACAGTTCGCCTCTCAGCATGTACTCGGGCGACATGTACCCAAAGGTGCCACCAATGTGAGATGTGATCACAACGTGGTCGTGCCCTGTGTCCAGCACCCTCTCCCCGATGGCCGCCAATCCAAAGTCAGCGACGACGACGTGGAGTGTGTCCCCACAGCCATCGCTAAGCAGGACGTTGCTGCTCTTGATGTCACGATGAATGATGGGAGGCTTGGCATCATCGTGTAGGTACTGGAGCCCCCTGGCAATCTGGAAGGCAATGCTCATGCGCTCCTGGAGAGTGAGAGGCGGAGGAGAATCCAACTCAATGCGCCACTGCTTATCAGTGTTAGGAAACAACCGCTCGTGCAAGCAGCCCCCTGGGAAATAGGGGTACACCAAGATGCACTGACTGCCCTCCTGGCAGTACCCGATGAGCTGGATGAGATTGACGTGATTAATTGCACTGAGAGTGTTCACCTCCGCCACAAACTGGTTTCGTTTGGTGTCCGTTAGCTCGCCGGCCATCACCTTGATCGCCACATCCTTGCCATCGAGCGAGCCGTTGTAGACTTTCCCAAATGCCCCTCTGTTCCCGACTTGATGAGTCGAGCTAAAATTCTCCGTGCAATCCGATAGAGTTTTTATCCCGAATTGCTGGACGCGTGTCGGCCTCAGTCCCCAGAAATCCACAGCAGTGCAGTCCGGCGGAGCTGAAGTCCTCGGCCGGTCAGCAACGGCAGAGTTGTGATTGACCTGTTCCAGAGCTCGACGTCGACGCTTTCTGAGCAAGCGAACCCAAACAAAGGCCCCAGTTGCTATTGCTACTACTACAAATATCGAAGTAAGAAGTATAATTAAGTAGTACGGTAATGGTGGTTGGAGTCCAGAGTCCCAGAAGGAGGGTACAATGACTAATACCAAATAGATCACGCCTGCCAGTGCTGACGAAAGCAGACTAACCGGAAAATACTCTAGTGCAAAATAAGGTAAATTAATAGTACTTGAATGTTCGGATACGCCGTCTGACTGCCAGACTGAGTACGGTTCTTCTTCACAACGGCTAACTTCCGACCTGTCTAACGGAACGCTATACACGCTGGCATCGCTGGTTCCAACGTAGAGGCTTAAACCGTCGCCGTTGTCACCAAGTGCCAATGCCGTAACATCCGCTTCGCCGAAATAACGTGGGAGTGCTGACCTGGCGCTCATCCACCCGCATGCCGTTTCGGTTGTCCTGGAGAGTTCGAAGACCGCAACTGTATCGTGAGCGGCTGTAAACACGTGATGATGACATCCTTGACTCGTTGCAACGACGTCTATCGCTCTCCGATGGAGAAAATGGGCGGGTGGTGATATCGTATTGTGGTACAAATGTCCAGGTTGTATCCTCCACCCGAACAACCAGTCAGTAGAAGTAACGGAGTACAGGCAACTGCCGTCCGATAGAAGGCTTCCAGATTGAAACTCCTCGTTAGGATCGATTGGATCGCTCTGCAATTCGACATTCCAAGCGGATATCGGGTTCGGATCGCCGTTTGGAAGCCCGACGTCATTAACGGTGACGTTAACTAATGCGGAATCAAGTTGCAAATAGTAAAGAAAACTCTTGTTAGGCTCGAACGCCCACGCCTGGGACAATTTGCTCAAAGGGGGAGATGACGATCGAGAGCCGTCGGCGAGAGACAAAGAAGTGAACACGGAGCCGTTGTCATCCAGAGATCTGGTCCCACTGTCCCGTATTACTACTGGATCTTCATTCGTTACGCTCAAGACGAGATGCATCCCATCTTTCGACAGACCCATTCCTGTCACGTGAGCCCCTCCAAAATCCGATGGTTCGCGCACTTTTGTCCCGTTCGGCTGCCCGTATGGCCACATGTGACTTATCAAGGAGTCGTTCTCCCCCTGCGGACGCGAACCGTCGCCGTCCTGCATCTGCGATAAGTTCATTCTCCTAATCGACAACGCCCGATCCTCGAGAGTACCATCCACTTGGCAGTACTGGTGCAGGATGTAATACAATTCATCCGAACCGACCACCAGGCTCGTAATTTCGGTCCGGCAATCTTTCCCCGCAGTCCTATTCGCCCGCGGGATATGCCACGTCACGCGCGTGATGGAACCCTTTACGAACGGCGAATACTCTAGCGGCCGCTCTTGCTGCGGCGGTACTGGGGCGGCACTCGTCGACTCCTGAAGAAGGCGATCGCTCGCGTGCCAGCTGAACTTGCAGGTAATACTCCACCACTGCCCGATTCTATGAATTGATCGCTCGCCCCCTGTGAATACGAGGAGGAGACAACAGACGCACATAACTGTGGCCGCTATTGTCGTCAAACGGCCAATGACCAACCGCATCTGGGCAAAGAAACGGACACGACGACGCCTGCAATGATCATAGACAGCGGTGAAATGGTCCCTAACAGGACAGAGGAGCTTCATATCCCAAACTCCCACAGCTCTCCACCCTCGCTGAGGATTGCCGTGAGAAACCCTCCTCCCCAGGCAAACTGTGTCTGTACTGCCCAACTGAACTTGCCTTCCTTAACCGAGAGCTACAACTCCCCACCCACTCTTGATGCGCAAGTCAAACGAGTTAGCGCATACTCACTTTCACTAGATTGCTTGGTCTGAATCCATCCCTGAATATGGCCAAATGCGTGTGGCAAAGACCCAGTGGGAGTATATGCCGTTGCTGAATTAGCACTTTAACCCGGACTGGTTGTGCTGCATATGGAGCTTCCACAAATCTCTTCCAATCTGCGAGCCGTCCGCAGCAACGTAGCGACACGAAGCACGGTCACTATGAAAACAGAGCAATCACCGCCGGCATTGAGCGGCACCATCACTCATTTTTCGCCCATGCAAACATCGGCTTAGATCCAAAGGTGAACAAAACAAAAAAGAACTGGTGAATCGATCCGTCGAACTCATCCGCCCCTTGCCACCATTCTATCTTTGCCCCGCTGTCGCTGCCTCAATGACGTTCCCGAGGAGGTCGAAAGATGACGGCGGTCCTAACGTGAACTAGGCAGAGTTCACAAACCAGAGGGCGGTACACGCCGCGTTTGCTCACGCCAAATCAAAGACTGGCTTCCGACGGTTCATGAAGACGCAGTTGCGTTGTAAGCGACAAAATGATCATCAAAGTCAGAAAGTGAGTACACGGGACACGTGGCGACGGGAGAACCACCAGCCTTGTACCATCGAAAGAGGCGGCATCACTCTGGCGGGACATATCGGACTGTACCCTTCAACACATCCATGAAGATGCGCCAGGGAACAGTAACGAGCGCTCGAGGGAGCGCGGCCCCGCGCGCGCGCGCGCGCGCGAGAGAGAGAGAGAGAGAGAGAGAGAGAGAGCAGGGGTGGAGAGGCGGACGGACTGTAAGGTACTCTCGATGGGGTGGCTACCGTATAACGGAACTCCGTCGAGTAACGTCGAGTATAACATACGATTCTAGTAGAGAAGCACGAAGTAGTGCACGGCTAGAGTCGTGGATGGGGTGTATGCTATGGCGATGGAGTTGCATTGCCCCGCCAATGTGACAACCGACGGTGTCAAAGCCGATGGCACCTGGAGGCGCGCCTTTACCCCAGACTGGTTTTATCGCTGTCCGTATTCAGATGGCACTTCTCCCAGCGGCGGAGGAGAGAGAGAGAGAGAGAGAGAGAGAGAGAGAGAGAGAGAGAGAGAGAGAGAGAGAGAGAGAGAGAGAGAGAGAGAGAGAGAG